CAGTGCTAGGGATGCAGTCTGGGGTCCGGGGTCTCACTTCTGGAGGCATCCAGGCATGAGAAAGGTGCCTGGAGCAGCACTGGGAGTGGGGTTTGGTGGCAGCTTCCCTCTGTGGTTTTAAGAGCTGGGGATATTCTCATCTGTACCCAGAGCATCACCTCCAGCACCTGACACAGAAGGCTCTGGCTAGAAGGCTGCTGTTGTTGAGAAAACAGAGTGGAATAACAAAAAGGGCAGTTTACTCTCTACAGAAACACTTAATAAAGTATTCTGGTTTTTAAACTTAATAATGGAGGAGAGGAGCTGAGCTGAGCTGAGCAGCTCTGGCAGGCAGCTCAGATGGAGGAGAGCGGATGTGCTCCCACCTGGGGGATCCGTGTCAGTAATGATTTGACTTCCAGTGACCCTCACCCATCTTGCTGCTAATGAGCTTTGCAAACAAGAAAGTGAGCAAAGGCTCCTTTTTTACTTTACATGAGCGGGGACTTGTCCAGGTATTTATTTTCCTAAGGCACAGTCTCACACAGGTTCTGGTGTGTGTTGTGTTCCTTCCCCCAGAGGTGATCCTCCTCCTGTCGTGTTTGCCCTGGCCGTGCCGGGGGTGCTGCTGGTGCTGCTGGGCAGAGGAGCTGTGCCCAGTCCTGGTGGCAGGAGGCCACAGGGTGCCACACGCTGTGCTGGGTGACAGCAGTGGGCACAGCGGGCACAGACATCCCATTTTGTAGTTCCAAACCACAGCCCCTGTGTACGGGTGAGGCTGGATCTGGTGTCTTCCCAGGGGTGGCTGTGGGCACGTGGCAGCAGGCCCTGCCAAATCTGCTACTCTGTGTCACCTTGGAGATGTCATTTAAAAGCGAAAAAAAGCCTGTTTTGCAAAACAACAGATAAAAATAGCACTTCCTATTCAGCACATCCATTCCCTGTGAGTACTCAAAATTCATTTGCTGACTGCAATCACAGGAATAAGGACATGTGTGCTCTGGGATGGGAGGGCATGGGCTGGTGTCCAACTATGCCATCAGCCAAACCATGTGGAGCTGCTGGTGGCTCCTTCTCAGACCCCTTGGCAGCAGCAGGGTCAGAACATTGGAGCTGAGGGTCATCTTTAGCCTTCAGGACCTGTGTTATCAGTGCTAACACACAACAAGAAAAGAAAGTTTTCTTTTCCAATGCCAAGAGCAATTTTCAGGGTTGTCTGTCGGCACAGAGAAATCAGTTCACTTCTGCATAGATGAACTGGATTTGTGAGAGCGTGGAATTATATTTGCATGGTAACAGCTTCTCCTTGGATTTTGAGCAGACCATGAGCTGGAGTCTTCCCCCTACACCTCCTTTTCCTCTCCATAGCATGGATTAAGTACCAGACCCTTTTCCCAAGCTCTGAGCTATATTTCCTGGTCAGCTCCATGGATAAAGGATGGGCTGGGAATTGGAAGTGAACGCATGCAATATGAGTCTAACATGGTAAAGCACAAACTGCTTTTTCTTTTGAATCTCTGGGTTACAGTGTGTGGGATCCCTTTGCTTCTGTGGCTCAATAAATCCATGTGTGGATGAGGGGTGTGCAGAGGTGTTTGCCCAGGCCCTGCTGGGGCACCAGCTTTCCTCCCACCAGGGTGGGACGTGCCACCCGTGCTCGCCCAGACAGAGTTATTGACCGAGTTTCTTATTGATTTTGTAATCATTTTCCAACAGAGCCCCCTGTCCTGTGTCACTGCCAAGGCAGATCGCAAATTGAACTGCACCTAAATTGATGGGGCATTGATTAAAACTCACCGTAATTATTGGTTCTCTGCTGCCCAAGCCAGGCAAATCAATGTCAGCAAGAACAGATCTGCTCCTTTATAAAAGCACAGTGTATAAAGGGTGAGTGCTGGCTTTCCAAACCCATCCAGAAGCCCAAGCTGATTCACCAGGGAGTCAGGATTAGCACAAACTGGCTGTTTCCATGGTCATTTCTCACTCCTGTGGGCAAGAACATAGCTGCACTGAAATGGACTTCAGTTTTTCCCCACTCTGATCTATTGATGGGACGTCCCAATGTGAAATCCTCTGCTCCAGGGGCAGAGAGGTGTGTTACAAACATTTATAAGCCCATAGAAGCTGTGGCTGCCCCAGGAAGTATCCGAGGCCAGATTGGACAGGGCTTGGAGCAACCTGGGATAGTGGGAGGCGTCCCTGCCCATGGCAGGGGAGGTGAGCTGATTTTTAAGGTCCTCTCCCACCCAAACAATTCTGTGATTTGTTGTGCTCAGTAATTGCTTCATCCACCTATTCATCCCCGCAAAACCCTCCATGGAGAGGCTGGTGTTGCCTGGCCAGCACTAATTGCCAAGTTTGCTGCTTCCCCTGGCTCTCCTAGGCAGGGACACATCCCGAGGTTTCACGCTGGCTCCCTGGCTTCCCTTTCTGTCCCTGGAGAGCCCCGTGCTGCAGCACAGCAGCTGACTGGAGAACCAGCTCTGCTCTGAGCAGGGATGGATGTGGAGAGACAGGAGCGCTTTCTTTTGCAAATGCTGTGCTGAGCTATTTGCCGGCTGTAATTAATGACTATTAGGATGCATAATTATGAACTGAAAGGAAGCACGTTTCTTGGTGGTTAAGAGCCAAAACTGGAGGAATATCCCAAGGGTGGCCTCAAGCAGAGTAGGACGAAGGGAGGGAGGGTTTTGCTGACCCACTAACCCAGTCACAGGGAAAGAGCCATCTTCTTCCTCTGTGGGCTGGAGAAGGTGCTGAGCTCAGCACATGGATCTGTGCCAAGGCAAGAATTCCAAGTCACAGCGCCGAAAAGCCATGACTGATCCTCTGGCTGTGGTCCTGCAGCTCCTGCTGCCTTACAGTCCCATCCAGTTGCTTTCAGCACCCTGGAATATTCCACAGGATCTCCAGAGGGAACTTGAGCAGAGCCATGCCCCCCATCCCTGTGGGTGTGGGGAGAGCAGCAGAGCAGATGCAGTGCCGTGAGCAGGGATGCTGTTTGCAGCCAGACCTCCCCGTGTCCTCCAGGGAGATCCTCTCTGCCAATTTGCACAGCTCTGCTCTTACAGCAGACAAGGAGGAGAGCACGGGAGATAAGAGCTGGATCTGCAGATTCACAAACACTCTCATCCTGGTGCTGTTTCCCAGGCAGCTCTGGGGTGGTGGAAAGCACAGATTGTTCTCAGTGTCCTCTCCTCCTTCATTGTTCTGTGTATGCATCTGGAAAGGCTCCTGCTCCCAAGTCTTCTGCTGCTTTCTGCTGATAATTCCAGAGCTGTGTCTTTGGGACCCTGCCTGCTCTGCAGAGATGGACACCATCCTATTCCAGCCCTTTGCTGCTAAGACCCTTTGGATGGACAAGCCTTGTGCCTTCCCTTCTCGCCTAACCCGGTGCCCCAAGGATGCTGCTGAGGTTTGCAAGCTTCAGAGCTGAGGGCACAGGAGGCAGTGAGGGATCTGAGGGACAGCTGGCACAGAGATCAACACACCCCAGTTGCTGCAGGTGGGGCAGAAGCAGTTTGGATGCTGCTGCTGTAGGGAAGTGGCACAGGGTTTCTAGGAGGTGGAGAGAAAGATGGGGATGAACCTTATAGCAGGGTAGGACAAGTATGGTGGTTGTAAAATGAAGGAAGGGAGGTTTAAATTAGATGTTAGGATGAAATTCTTCCCTGTGAGGGTGGGGAAGCCCTGGTCCTGGTTGCCCAGAGCAGCTGTGGCTGCCCCTGGATCCCTGGCAGTGCCCAAGGCCAGGGTGGACAGGGCTTGGAGAAGCCTGGGACAGTGGGAGGTGTCCCTGCCATGGCAGGGGTGGCACTGGATGGTCTTGAGAGGTCTCTTCCAACCCAAACATTCTAGTATTCTGGGATGGCTCAGGGTGGGCCAGGAGTCCCTAAAGCCCCTTTCTGCTGTCCCTGTTTGCTTCTTAAATAGCCATGAGTGAGCGAGGCTCAGGAGCCCATCTCCCATCAGGACTCTGCTGGTGTTAGTGAGTGCAAGGTCCAGGATCTCCTGAACTTTTATTAATATGTGCAGCATTTTGCTCACATAGAAAAGTGATTTTCTTTTTTAAGCATGAGGTGTAGTGGTTTTATAACCTTTCTTCTGCTTGACAGAGGCCATTTATAAACTGCCTTCATCACTACCTATGCCGTTTCCAGTCTAACTCATCTTCAAGAAATTCCATAATGCATTTTTAATTGTGAGCTGTTCCCAGACAAGATTTATTTATTTTTTCAAGGACTGGCCTTTTTGTTGTTGTTTGTGTGCATGTCTGTTTGGTGAAAAGGGATAAATAACAAAAATGGGAGTGTGCTTTAATCTGGGTGACAATTTATCAATGGCATTTTCCATCTGCTGGCTTTTATCTTTTGGGGCAAGGAAAACAAGCTGGGGAACTGCAATTAGAAATTAGAGCCATGGTTCCCTCAGCTGTGGAAAACTGATGAGCTTGGGCTGCCATCCTGGCTGCCCCAGTCCTGCTTCTGTCATGGGCTGGTCCTGCCCACAGCGGGCATCAGGATCCTTTTGTGCATGATGCCAGGGCCATGCTTGCTGACTGCCTGGCACGAGTTGAGATGGATTTCTAGGTCATTCCCAAGCACTGAGATGATTCTCTGGGTTGGTCCCAGGTGTTGAGGTGTTTATTTCTGGGTTGCACTGAATTTTTTTGCATTTCAGAGGAACAGGGAGCAAACACAGAGGGTTGTGAAGTTTTATCCTATGCTAGCTTAAGGCTTTATTGCTGTGTAGTTTTTCTGCCCCAAGGATTTCACCCTCTTCCAGAGGGAGGATGAGGCGGAAGGCATTGGCAGCAGACCAAATCCTTGCCCCTTTCCCAAGGGCTGTGAGAGGTGATGCAGGGCTACCCCATCCATCACTCAGGACAAACTCCTCTCCTTCAGATGGAGAAGGAGTTCAGCAGCACTGGCTCTGGGATGGGCTGTGCCCTGAGAGGGACAGGGACTCCAGGGTCGGGGAGGATGCCCAGGTGACCTTTCCTGTGCCCTGTCTCTCTGCAGTGCCCCGAGGACCTGCGGCCCATGAAGGATGGCACCGGCTGCTACGACTACTCCAAAGGGATCGACTGCTCCGACGGCTTCAACGGCGGCTGCGAGCAGCTCTGCCTGCAGCAGACCCTGCCTCTGCCCCACGACCCCTCCTCCAGCACCATCTTCATGTTCTGTGGGTGAGTCCCCTCTAGGCAGTTGTCATAGTTGAGACAGTCACAATACAAAGCAGCACTCCATTTTCAGCAGGCTTCAAACTGTTTTTCTTATAGCCTGCATGCTTTTTGTACGTTCTTACAAAACTCATCAGTTTACACTTTACTCATTGGTCAGGACAGACAAACAAAGTGCTCATTGGAACAGGCAGTTGCAGGTTTCTCTTATTTATCCTTCTTTCTTTCTTGGTTTCTGTGTCAACGACCTTAGTAGAAAATTCTTTCAGGGGTGAACGTGGCCCTCTTATCAAACTTCTCTCTGGCTCACAGAAGTCGCTGTAAAATCTCTTCCACAGTCAGTCCCCTCCAAGGCTCCTCAACAAGAAACCCCTTCCTATAATTATTGTTTTGTTATTATAAGTCAAGCTGCAGGTTTTCTGTGGTTGATCACAGCCAGTATCCTTTATCCAAAAAACAGCAGTCTCCATATCTGCTGTTCATATCTGTTCAAACAACACTTGCTGATCTTGTACAGCCATGACTTGCTCTGTGATGTGTGTTGGTAAAGCAATAGCCTTGGCCATTGGAGTATTCTCAGGAATTACCACTGGTTGGTGCAAAACCTGAGCTAAAACAGTTAATTCTTCATTACAATTTGCTAAAACAAGGGATGGATAAATTGTGAGCCCCAAAATACTGCTTCTGTCTTTGCCTATAATCAAAAATTCTTGTATTTTCCACAATGTTCCAGTAATTCCTGTGGGAATTACTGCATGACTTTCATTCACCTCATCTCATCCCAAGCTGGGCCAAGGGAAATTTAGGCTAGATATTAGGAAAAAGTTTTTTACAGAAAGATTGATGAAGTTCTGGAATGGCTGCCCAGGGAGGTGGTGGAGTCACCATCCCTGGATGAGTTTTAAAAAAGCCTGGATGTGGCACTGGGTGCCAGGGTTTAGTTGAGCTGTTGGGGCTGGGTTGGACTCGATGGTGTTGAAGGTCTTTTCCAACCCAGTGACTCTGTGAATTCTGTGAATCTCCATCCCTGGCCACCTCCTGTGCCACCCAGCCAGCCCAGCCTGGATTTGAGTGTCCAAGAAAAAGGCTGCTGATGGAGCTGACATCCAGCAGGGAATAGAGGCACCTGGTTTTCCTGAGGGAAGTGTGAGGAGCAGTGTGAGCAGATGCACCTTCCTTCTCTCCCCCACTGTGTGACAGTACAGTTTGTTCTGTGACTCACTGTGAAGGGACCCAAAAATTGTGCATTGTGTGTGTGTTGGAGGGGAAGGTGTAGGATTTGTTTAAAAAATACTACTTTTTTTTTTTGTGCCTCCCTTAAAAATAGAGTCTCATCCCTGATTTTGGCCAGGATCTTATAATCCTACACAATTTAGCATTTTCTCTCAGGAAAATCTCCCTGGCTGCAGTGTGCTCTAAAAGGAGCTCAGCGATTATCTGGCTTTATTCTGCACAGCTGCAGCCATCCATCGCCTGCCCCAGCCCCACAGCTCGTTCACACTCTCAGGCTCACTCAGGAACTTACTCCATGTCCCAGTGTGACAGATTAGGATGAAGAACGGGGAAAAAAAGCCCTTTTGGAAAGAAAATGCCCACAAGCAAGAAGGGGAGTGAATTGCTAGCAGTAACTCCGAGGAGCATCCGTCACGTCCCGACGCCTGCAGGTGCAGCAAAGACCTCACACTGCTCTGAGTGCTGGCTGGTCCCTGGGAAGAGCAGCCCAGGGAGCTCTGCCTGTGCCAATTTCTCCTTTATTTATTCAATTTTTGCTGCTTTGTTGTTTATTTTTCCACCCCCACTACCTTTTTTATTATTGTTTAGCAGCGCAGAGTGACTGAGTCACCAAAACAGAGCACATTTTCTGCTCCGTGCCTGCAGAAGGGTTAGAAATTCCTCCTTTGAGGGGAGGGTCCAGAAGATCTTGGCACATTCTGTGGTCTCCATCCACACAAATCTGCATTTCAGCCTTGCATCCTCAAGGACAGAGACTCTTTCTCTGTTTTTGTTTGTTTTTTTGGTTTTTTTCCCCTTCTTTTTTTTCATAATCCCTTTTCAAGGCTGAGCTGTGCCTTGGGAACAGGCAAGGAAGAGCGTGACAGACGGGTGGGAGTTCTGCTTGCAGTAAAATGCAGTAAAGGAAGGGGAGAGGGAAGCAAGCCTGGGTAGGGGTGGGGTTGGTGTTACAGCAGTGGGGCTGTGGGGAGGGAACAGAAGTTACCCAGTGTGGTGGGAACTGACAAAAAGGCTGGTGGAAGAGGAGGAGAGGCAGGATGGCACATTTACAAAAGATTCCACTGAGGTGTCCAGTGTCTGCAGTTAAACCACATCCCTGCTGCCTGCATCAGTTTCCCTTCCTGCCAGTTGAAGATGAACATGTGAATCTTATCCAGAACAGGCTTGGAAGTGGGATCAGAGAGCAGAGGAGCAGCCAGGCTGGAGCTGCTTCCTTGCAGGAGGGTATTTCTGGGTGGAAGAAGGGGAAGGAACTTGATTTTGCTTTGCTGTGGTGTGGGGGATGTTAGTACCCAAGCAGCAGACACACAGTGGGCTCAGCTCTGCTCTCCAGCACAGGGGCAGCTCCAGGCAGGACAGCATGGAATCATGGAATGGTTTAGGTTGGAAGGGACCAGAAAGCTCCTCTTATTCCACCCCCCTGCCATGGGCAGAGACACTTTCCCTCAGACCAGGGTGCTCCAAGCCCCACAAAACATCACTGCAGGCAGATGGGCTGCTGCAGGAGGGAGGGGAGTTGGGAGCCAAGCCCCCATTCACTGGTCACCAACCCAGCCGGAGCAGAGGATTTGGGCTCTGTGACTCCTTCCATGTCCAAACAACTCCTGCAGGTGTTGGTGGTGCTTGGCTGGGCTGGCAGAGGCTCATGGGGTGGGTTGCTCTGTGCCTGGCTCATGTCCCGTGGCCTGTGGTGCCCCACAGGTGTGTGGAGGAGTACAAGCTGGCCCCGGATGGGAAGTCCTGCCTGATGCTGTCTGACATCTGCGAGGGCCCCAAGTGCCTGAAGGCGGATGCCAAGTTCAATGACACCCTTTTTGGGGAGATGCTGCACGGCTACAACAACAGGAGCCAGCATGTCAACCAAGGGCAGGTGTTCCAGATGACCTTCAGGTATGTCCTGGTTCTGCTTCTCGTTTTGGGAATATCAGGGTGGTGAGATGGGACCGAGGTCCAGTGGGACAGAGCCAGCATCTCTGATTTGCTCATGAGGGGGAGAGAGCAAGAGGACAAGGAGCATCCATGGCTTTCCTGCCTGCTCATCCTCCCTCTGGCAGCAGCACAGGACCCTCCTGGGCTGCTCTGTGTCTTGTCAGCATGAGACACATCCAGCTGGGCTCTGTGGGCCTTTCTCAGGAGTGTTGCCTTATCTCTTTCTGAGCACTGATGTATTCCATCTCCATGATATCCTGCAACAGCAAGCTGTTTGGTTGTGTGTGGTGTGAAAGAGCATTTCCTTTGTTGTGTTTCCAGCCTGTGCCAGCTGGTTTTATTCAGTGCCCCCATCACAGTGCTGGGAGGAGCTGTGGATATAGCATGATAAATCATGTAAATGAGCTGAAGGTGAATGCCTTCACCTTGTAGGGCTCACAGAGGAGAGCTTGCTGAATTCAGGGCTGGCAGGTGAGTTTTTTAGTTATTTTTCATCAGGTCTTCTGAATGCAGCTGTGTTTTGATCAGGTGTAAGCCAGGGTGGCTCTGTGAGTTTTGAAGCGGCAGCACTAATCAGTCAGGAGAGGCTCCAGCCCACACCCCAGCCAGACACAGCTCTCCCTGCCCAGCACAGTTTATTTCCTGTTCAGACACCAACACCTCATTGCTGCCTCTGATTTCAGCTGGACCTGTGGGTCCTCATCTCTGCTGCCCACAGAGTTCTTCCAGGTGTTTTTGCCCAGCTGATCAAAACTTCCCTGGCTGTGAATTCAAGCTCAGCTCTGGCCTTCTGCTCTCTTGATGACAGAGGCATTACAAACTGCATCAGCAAAAGCTTTTGCTGGGAGTGAGAACTGATAGGACACAAAGGCAATTTTCCCAGCAGATTCCTCTTTGCTTTCTCTCCCTCATGTTAGAATTGTCAGTGGGTCCATCAGAGCAGAGCCAGGGCTGCAGAGATGAAGTTTTCCGTGAGCTGGTGGGTCTAAGGGATGCTTTGTTCCTTCCAGGTAGCAAATGTATCCCCTGTTCAGGGCTGAATTCCATCTGGAAAGCCCACAAGGATTGTCTGTGGGGCTGCTTTGTCCTGGGGCATGTGGCTGCTTCAAGTGTTCCCCTCTGAGGGCATCCTGAGGATGGCAGCTCTGGGCAGTCCTGAGCTGGACCAGGAGCAGTTCCTGCTGGGGTTGCCCTTGGAATAAAACACCTGAGGTGTTGGGATGGCACCTTCCAGGGCCAGAAGGCATTCCTTGGGGCTCTGCCTGAGAGCTTTTGTGGTTAAAAAGGGGCTGTTAGTCCTCCTTCCCAGAGCTGGCCCCACTCCTGCCAGGCTGGCTGGGATGTGCAGTGGGGAGAAGCTTTTCCCAGTGAGGAGCTGTGCAGTGACAGCCAAGTGCTTTGTACAGTCTGCTGGGTTTCTTTAGTCCTAGAATTAGAATTATTTTATCCACCAGAGGTTTTTTTTTTTTTTTTTTTTTTTGTGAATGATGAACACTGGGGAATTCTACAGATTCTTTGTTGTCTTAATGTGGCTTTTTTTGTAATTTTTTTTTCCTGATTTTTTTGAGACTACTTAGTTTTTGGGGTTTTCTTTTAGGGATTACTGGTTTACTTATATTAGGTTGTTTATTTTCTAGGTTAACTTTAGGGTAGTGAGTGCTTTTGTGACTTTAATAAAAAATGTACCTTTTTGTTCTCTATTGAGACAAGAGATTTTTTTCTTTACATTGTGATGGGTTTTGTATAACGAAGGGATGAATAGTTGAAGTTTTGTTTTCTGGTTTTGTAATGAGAATTATATGTTTACTTTGTAAATATAAGGTAGTTATTTTAATCTTTGTGAGGGAGCTTAAAGGTGCTATTAATTTTTATTTTTCAGGCTAAAATACATAAGAAGTAACTGTGATGTTTGTGTTTGTGTCTAACGTGTTTATAATTGTAATTGTTTTGTTATTATATGTTAAGTTAGTAGCAGTGAGGAGCAGGAGAAAGCAGGTCTGGAGCAGGAGCATCCTGCCAAGCTGCCCACGTGGTGCAGGCTGTGGCGCGCCATGCAGTGGCTCTGCAGAGCTCGCGGCACATCGTGCTCCAGAAATGCTTCCAGCAGCCTGGAAGGTCATCCAGGTCACCCTTTTCCCATCTGAGTGAGGCTCCAAAAGCAGCAGGCAGTGATGAGAAGGGCTCAGCTCCCTGCAGTGTCCTCCCCCAGGGCCAGGCTGCCGGGGTGTCGGCAGGTCACGGTGTGGAAGCACCATTACATCATTCCTTAACAAGGGAAGAGAAGGAGGTTAATGGAGAAGAAATTATTAACTAAAAGATGTAATTTGCCTCTGATTTTCATAGATATTCAAGAACCTCTCTGAGCATTAAGACACCAGCTGTTAGAGAAGCCCTTAATTTGGTGCATTTGAAACATAGCAGGAAGCTGCCTAATACTAGGGATTAAAAGCCTGTTTCTGCGAAGTAGGAGCAAGAACCTGCTATCAGAACAAGGGGCTGAGTATTTTAGAGGGATTTATGACTGCTGGGATCCTTTAGCTATGCAGATGTGACAATCTTTTGAATGGTGTCTGCTTCCCATGTCGCCGCATCCTCAGTGTCTTTAATAAATAGGATATTCTCAATCTGCCAGGCATGTCAGCATGGGGTGGGGAGGGAGCCTTTGTGCTGGGAAAAGCTGCCTTGCACACCCTGGCCTGGGCAACACTTATCAGTTAGATAAGCTGCAGAATTTCCATCCCCTGAGGGTCAGGGAGGTCTCTTTGCCACCTAAGGGGCTCAGCACTGATTAATTAGAGTCTCTGCCCTTCTGGTGGCTGCAGAATGGACCAGGTTCCACAGAAGGAACCACTTTGGGTTATCTGGTCCAATTGGAGCACAGGGCACAGGATTGCATCCAAGCAGTTCTTGAATAATCCAGTGAGGGAGACTCCACACCCTCTCTGGGCAATCTGTTCCAGTGCTTGGTTACTGGACTGTGAAGAAGTTTCTTTCTCATGTTCAGATGGAACTTCCTGGGCAGCAGTTTCTGCCCATCACCTCTTTCTGGTCCCACTGCTGGGCATCACTGAGCAGAGCCTGGTCCCTCCTCTTGGCACCCTCCTGGCCATGCTCAGCACACCAGTGGGATGGACCAGGTGTAGCAGTGATGGCTTTATGGTATCTGACCAGCTGGAAAGGCTGGGAATGTGCACTGGGTACCTTCAGGATGCAGAGCACTGGTGGATGTGAGATACAGAACAGCTTGGGAGGTCTCAGACCAACATGTGGTTGCAGTCAGTGCTGCTTCAGATGTTGTGTTTCCCCTTTAATAGATGCCATTCTATCCTAGGGGCTCAGGCATTTATCCAAAGACTTCAGCTGTGTGACTGAGGAGATGGCAACACCCAGGGGATGGGTGGAGGAAGCAGATTCTGGCTGCTGAGGCCAGTGTACCCCAGCAGGGCTGGGCAGCAGCCGGCCTGGTCCCTGCTGTGTGCTCCACACATGCTCCACATGCACCCCAGCACTGATGGAACACCTCCTTGTGCTGCCTAGAGCCTGGCCCTGCTCACGTGGCCCTTCCTGCTGGTGCCAAGGACCCTTTGCCCCATCCATCAGTGACAATGCAGCCACAGCGCAGCAGGATGTGAGCTCCACAGCATCCCTGCAGCTCTGCTCCAGCCACCAGCAGCTAGGAGCTCTGTGGGCAGCTTCTCCTGTACTGAGGTGGTTTAATAATCACTGATGGCTTGTGTAGAGGTTGGGGTGCTCAGCTGCTCTGTTGGACATGCCAGCATCAAGGCTCCTGCTTGGAGGCTCGCACCATGGCATCACTGCTGCTGCTGCTGCCTTACTGCAAGGATTTAAATCAAAGCACTCCTCCAGTGATGCTTCTCCTGTGCAGTCCCTCGTGGGCACTTTGGGAGGGGACTGGAGAGGGATCTTCCATCACTCACCAGAAGCCTCCCTTGGTCCTTCCACTGCTGAGCCAAAAGCACATTCAGAGCCATCTTCTTCTGGGCACCCCTCTCCTCTCCTTAAAGAAGGCTGTTCCCCTTGGCAAAATGCTCTGTGAGGTTAATAAGGAGATGGGATTGGAGCTGATCTATTCCAGTCACACCTCCTGGTCTAGCTGAGAGGCTCAGCAATGGATGCAGCTCACTAAAGACTAGATTAGAGTGATTTTCCCCCCGTTGCCTCACGGTGGGGCAGAGCCTGAGCCCTGTGCCGTTCCCAAATCACTGAGGAATTATTTTCCAAATGAGTTGTTTGCTCATTCTTTATCTGTTTTTGTGTTGTCTCTTTGCCATGAGGGAATAGATATTTTTGTTTAAAAGCTGTTTGCAGTTTCAGACTGTTGCATTTATGCCATTAATATGGAGAAATCCCAAAATACTGCCCGTGGAGCCAGCTTTATTTGCTGGATTATTGCAGCATGGCAAATGGGATGTCAGGGCAATGCATGGCAGCTGGGAGCAGCTGTCTCCCCTTACCAGAGTCCCTTCCCATCCCTACCTCTGCCTCTCATCCTGGCTGTTGCTCCAGCCTGGCAAAGCCCCAGGAGGACCCAGGAACACCCACACAACCCCTGTTTGATTCCTCCCAGCAGAGATGCAGCGAGTCCAGGGAGGTATTGAGGGCAGGTAAGGAGCCTGAATGGTTTGGTGGCAGGAGGCAGGGAGAGCATTCATGTTGGTGCTCCCTCCCTGCTGAGCACCAAGTGGTTTCCCTCCTCCATATCCCATTTCCCTCCTCCATATCAGGGAGGATGGCTGTGGAGGAGCCAGGGCTGCCGTGCTGTGCTGTGCTGAGCACCTTCCTGCAAATTGGAATCACCCTTCCCTCTGCAACTCAGTCCTTGGAGGATGCTGTTCCCCCTGTTCCCATTTATAAAACAGGGCTGCTGCTTCTTTGCAGCCTTGGGGAAGGGAAGGGAGCAGGTTGGAGGTGGTGCTGAGCTGCCAGGGATGCTGCAGGGA